CAGGCTCAGTATTCCGCATCACTTCGCGCATCGACCTCGCCCACGATGACAAACCAGAAAGATGATGCAGAGTTGGTTACACCGCCACCGGTCAACCACACACCATCCTCGTCACCTGCCAGCTCCCTGCCCACAGCCAGCGCGGCCGCCCTGGATGGCAAGTCGTTTGATAGCGTGGTGCAACCTCGGATCATGCAGTCTCTTCACGGAGTGTCGTCACCGCCGTCCAAACCGGCGGCGTCACAGTTGCTCACCATGCACAGCACGCCGGATGAAGTTGTCAAGTACTACACATGGACCAGTGACCAACCTCGCCTTTTCCTCAAGCAAGCACCCACAACAACCACTTTGGCGTCGCTGGTTAAGTGGGCCAATCACCCGTCCCGGCTCAACGGCAACAAGTCGTTAGATTCTATGGCGACGCAGCTTCTTCAGGCCAGGCAGCGCATGCCGAAGGGCGATGCGCCCACACTCGGTGCAATGGCAGCACTATGGGGTCTTGAACCCGGGTACCTTACCAAACTCACCGAGAAGGCATTGAGTCACCTCATCGTGACCGCTCGCCTGCTTTGTGGATGAGAAGGCATCATATCGACCTTCGTTCTCATATGAGCCCGGCGCGGCAACAATGTCACGGATGAGTCCAGGTGAAAACTCGTCCGTCAAGTGTTTGCGTTGCACATGATTGATTTTGTACTTGCTTGTTCTTGCATTGCCTCTTGTGTGATTGTCTGTGATGCTTGTATTCATGTCGCCGCCTTGTGGTAGATTTCGTTGGTTGCATCTCACCATGTTGGATGAACTTCGCCATTGCGGAATCTATGATGATGTTGCACAATGGCAGTCGCTGGACGACCTTCTGCACTCGTTGACTACATTCTCGACGTGCTGGCATTACTGTTTCCCTGGACTACCACCACCGTCGATTCCAATTGAAGAGTACGAATCCATCACACAATTGCCGTGGCTGGGTCTCATCATCGAGGTCTTAGTTATGGTCCGAATAGCCCTCCAGATTCCGAATTGCGCTATGTCAAACTCTCAGCACACCGTGGCCAACAGGTACGAACTTCACAGATGTCGGTGCGCTGCCTATTTATTGATCAGTTTCTTACAACGTCTTATTTCACAGGATCACGGCTACATCCCGCCGTTCTTCGAAGTTCTTCACTTCTACAAGACTTCTCTCTTGTGTGAAATCATGCACTCAACTTTCGCTGACACGCGACATCTACGCTCATTGCGGGCGCGATTTCCTGACCTCTACGACTTCATACATGATCCAGGTCATCACCAACAACCGTGCGTCTACATTCGACTTTCCCCATGGCACGCACCATACTATGTTGGGGCGACTGATCAGGATGTTCTACGTCGTGAACACTCACGCAGTCGCAAATTTCTACAACTACTTCGTGGACGGCATGCCTTCTTTGAACCGGCGCTTCACTACTGGAAGCGATCCAATACTTACTGGCTCTTCTGTGCTGTACCAGTGGAAATCAAACTTCCAGTTTCCTCGGTGTGGGTTCAAGAAAGCAAATGGCAATACCTGCTACGCCCGCATTTGAATGCGCCCTGGGTACACAGAATCTTGCGCAAGGTGGGCTTCCGGGAACATCTTGTAGATTTTCGACGCCACTCGTTGTCGTCGCCCACTTCCCTCGGCTTGCACAAGCGCTTTCGACGACGACTACATCCGGATCTCCAACGGCAACTACGACCTGACACCCTGGATGACATTCAAGCCCACTACTCGATCCTCTATCAGCTGGGATCGAATACAGGAGCGTCGTTCCAAGTCATGCGTGACCTACTGTCAGCCGCTTTCCCTCCCACTCAGCTGTACTACTTATTGCGGCTCGCAGTATTTGTCAACGAACCCTTCCGCTCCAAGGCCCAGAAGCTCCTCGCCCAGGTACTACGCAAACGACGGCTACAACCACCCACCACGTTAACACAGCTACTTTTGCCGCCGCTACATGTCCAGAATTGGAAAGCTCTACTGGGCACATGGTTACAAAGCTGGATTGCTTCTCATCGGGATCTGTTCCCCTCTCTTTTCCTTCCAAAGATCCGGGTTGTGGAAACTCGCAGCGCCACACTGGGCGACAAGATATACAACTATCGCACATGGCAGCGCAAATGGGCGCCTGACACATTCTTTCCGTGTCGCTGTTGGGACATCGATGATAGCCATCTACACCGTGCACATGGTCACGCAGTAATGTTGGATGAGTTTTCTCGCATCAATGCGGACATTAACATTGAAATCATGACCGCCTCGATGAAGGATCAGTTTTTCGGTGATGTCGACTTATTGCATCAACGTTTCACCACACAACTTCGCAAACTTGCTCGACGCTGGCATGTACATGGTTCCGGTCTGCTTTCAGATCTACAGCCAGTTGTGTCTCAGCTAATGGACACTCATCGGATCAACCTTCAAGATCGGGCTTATTGGTCATCGACATCGTTGCAACGCACTGTGGCTTCTTTG